TTCAGTGAGCCAACGGGCTCACGAGAAAAAACGAGCCCAATGGCCCAGATTAAATCTAGGCTGATCGATATATATATATATATATATATGGAAAAGGCTTCGGTGAGCTAATGGGCTCACGAGAAAAAGCGAGTCCAATGGCTTAGATTGAATCTAGGCCGATCTAATGGATGCCCGATAGTATTTGAATTTAATATTTTTTCTACAAATTCAAATCATTTGAAAGTTTAGATGTGTTTTCATAAAAAATAGAAGAATATTTGAAAAATTTTAAAAAAATATTTTACTTGAAAACAATTGACCAAAATACCCTTGAAAAATTTCAGGTGTATTTTGATCATTTTTTTAATTAATGGATTTTTTTTTATATATTTTTATTAGATGCAGCTTGATGAAAAGAACATTCACCTAAAATTTTAAGTGCTTTTGATTAATAAAAAAAAATATATTTAAATACTCTCGGCTATCAGATCGACCCTGATTCAATCTGGATCATTGAGCTTATACTATTCTATGAGCTAGTGGGCTCACCTTAGTATCTTCATATATATATATATATATAGTAAACATTACAATAGCTGGCAACTATAATGAATAGTAATATAGGTGGAATATGAGCCATCGATTTTCATCATGTAGTTCAGAATGTATATCACCATATGAATTTTAATTCTTTTTTATAAATCTGATTAAGATAAAATTTTGGGTGTATATACCTAACACTATTGCGCACCATATAACAAAATGACTTTCAATAATTTAAAATGACCAAACTACTCGTCATTTTTCAAGGTTATTTTGATCATTTTATATTTTGAGAAATATTTTTTAATTGTGTGCCCTATTTTTAGTATATATTTTTAAAATTTCATTGTGATTCGATTTCTACAAAAATATATTAAAATTCATACAGTGATATGCATTCTGAACCTCATGATGAAGATCTGACGGCTCCCATTTCAGTTATATTACTATTCATTATAGCTGTCCAACTATTGTTAGCTTTTTCCACACACACACACATATATTAGTGGTTTCGTTTTGGTTGCAACTTTCAACAATTGAAATAAAGGGCATCTTAAAATTTTATCAAAAAAACATAATTTTAGTGTAAACGATTATTAGAAGGGCCTTAAAATCTATTTTTATATTTAATTATAAAATTTAAAACTCATTCTTCAAATAAAATAGATAAACACATGAAAATCCTAAAAAGAAAAAGTTAAACTCTCTTTTTTTTCCATACTATACATATTGAGGTCAGATAATCGATGGGAGGGTTTGCCAACTTTGAAATAGCCTTCTTCTGATGGACTTTTGAGATGCATCTTATTTTTGCAACATAAGGCTGGCACCTTATATGACGCAATCATGGAATGACCTAATTTGGATTTTTTTATGTACTTTAATTAATGATTATATTTTGAGGGTTTTTAAAAATTATTTTAGTTTAGATTAGTAGGGTTTAGTAATTATGATTCTTTTTATTTTAGTTATTATTTCTTATGTTGTTAGGGGTAGAGTTAGTCATTTATTTTAAGTTAATAATGAATGGTTATGATTAAATGGAATGGACAGGTAGGATTTCGTAAGAGCTTTCTAGGGTTTTACTTCAATTCTTGTATTTAAAGGGATGAGCTCTTTCCTGGAGAGGGGATATGTGAAGAAAGACTTTATGTTGAGATCTTGTGAAGAGATCGTTCGAGGTAGATTCCTTTGCTGAGAGAGGGTATATTCTCTCATTGGGGTAGATTCCCTTTCGGGGTAGATTCCCTTACTAAGAGAGGGTATATTTTCTCATTGGGGAGAATTCTCTTGCTGAGAAAGGGTATATTCTCATTGGGGTGGATTCTCTTGTTGAGAGATGGTATATTCTCTCATTGGGGGTGGAGGTGTGGATTCTCTTGTTGAGAGATGATATATTCTCTCATTGGGGGTGGATTCCCTTATAGACTTTGAGAGATGACTGTTGTTTAGGAGAGAGAGGACTGTCATTTAAGAGAGTTAAACTGTTATTTTTGCAAAGAACTTTTAGTAAATAAACCTTGAGATGTGGATTTCTCTTGATTTTGTGATAATTCCTTCGTTGTTTTTCTACTCTTATTCCCTTTAAGACTTGTTCTCTAGAGATTTCTATGCAAATTCTGCAAATTATGGTGGCCTTAACTAATACCCATCAATAACTAATTTGGGTGTTTTTTTATGTAGTTTAATTAATGGTTACATTTTGGATATTTTTAAAAATTATTTTAGTTTAGATTATTAGGGTTAGTAATTATAGTTCTTTTTATTATGGGTGCGGTTTGTATAGAGCCTAGGCTCTAAACAATCAAATCAGAGCCTACTATTAAATGATGTCGAGAAATGTGGTTTCAATACTGAAAATATTTGTGATAGTCTTAAAATATATGTTCATCTTTATTTATAAAGTTTAAAGCTTAAAAAATCGATAGATCTATGAAACCTTGAAAATTGATGATCCAAAAATGAATTACAAAATACACTATTTCCAAAACTTGAAATCCATTTTTTTTCTCATATCCATGCATCTTGATGCTGAGATGATCAATTTGAAGATATTTGGGCATCAAAACAACCTCTTCTAGTGTAATTTTTTAGGTAGGCTCAAATTTGATTGTTTAGAGCCTCGGTTCTATATAAACTTTTGTCTTTTATTATTGATACAAATTAGGGTTGTTTTTTCACAAAATCAACACTATAACAGAAAACAAACCTTAGAATAAGAGTAGATAAAAAAGAAGAAGGACATAAGAATAAGAGTAGATAAAAAAGAAGAAGGACATAGCACAAAGGAAAAATCCACCTCCCAAAGTTTATTCACCAAAATTTATATGCAAAAATAACAATATAAGTTCATTCATCAAAATTTATAATACAGAAATAATAATCTAACTCTCCAAAACAACCTGTAGAGAATTTACCATCTCTCAAGGTCGACAAGGAATCTACCTCGAATGAGAAAATACACCATCTCTTAGGATCTGTAAAAAAATCCACCCCGATTACCATCTCTCAAGGTCGGCAAAGAATCTACCCCGAATGAGAAAATATATCATATCTTATGATCTGCAAGGAAATCAAGATCTTAACATAAAGTTTTTCTTCACATATCCCCTTTCGAGATAATTACTCCCTTTATATACAATAATTTCTCGAGAACGGTGCTACTCTTTTTAAATACAAGAATTAAAGTAACTTAAAATCTTAAAAAACACTTACGAAATCCTAGTTGTTCGTTCCATTTAACCATAATTATTAATTATTAATTTAAAATAAATAACTAATTCTATATACGACAAAAATAACAAATAACAACTAAAATAAAAAAAACCACTAATTAAAGTACATAAAATAAACCATCGATGTACCATCCCTCCAAAAATTGAGTTTTCTCTTTCATGAATCTTGAAATGCTCAATCAATATGATTTGGGTGAGTTTCTCTCTCATCCCAAAAACAATTAGGGTTTATTGTATGTCTTAGTCATCTCTTGCAAATTATATCCAAACGAGAACTCATATATTCGAGATTCTCTGCAATTTAATCGACGATGGATCTTTTGTACGTTCAACCTCCCATCAAATTTGCAGCACATAAGGTTTCTCTCTCTTGATAATCGTCTCTCTCTCCAACCCATTTCCCTTATTTATGGACTTGGACTGGTACTCAAATTCAGACTTTCGCTCTCTACTAATTCATTGAACGCCCCAGCTCACAGGTACCTGCGAGTTAGGGTTCATTTTCTGTTTATTTTTCTCACTAACCCAGTAACCCTCATTGCCTTCGTAACCAGAAACTAAAGTAAAAAGATTGTCCTTTCCTGCCCTAAAATTACATTGGAGGTTTTATGTCTGATTTTGAAGACTTGAATAGTTTCGGAGAATAAATTGAATTTGGGGACAGCATGAACATCTCCATAATTGGTTAGTTTCTTTTCTATCTTCTCTCTTTGAAAATTTGATGTTATTTATTGTTTTTTACTGTTGAATGCCATCTTTTCAGATTGCTTGGTTATTTATTATTTATTACCATTGAATCCCATCTTTTCATTCAGTTTCCTTTGGCCTTTGAATGTCCGGGTATTGTTTACTCCTAATGCAGCTATTAAGCATCAACTAAGGATAGTTGTGTTTTTTTCTCATTCTACTCGTTCTTTATTGTAAATGGTTTAGCTTATTTTCCCATATCTTTTCTCTCCCCATGTCTTTTGATGAATGGAAGATCAATTGATTACTATGTCTTGTTGGGTTTGTGTAGACCCGTTGCAGGGTGATTTTCCAGAAGTAATAGAGGAGTTTCTGCAACATGGGGTGATGAAGTGCATTGCATTTAATCGACGGGGCACCCTTCTCGCTGGTATATTTTCCCTTTTGGCTTTTTCTCATTTAGTCTGTATTTTCAGATCTTTTTTGGATTTCTGATTTAGGGCTCATGCTTAATGGATCAGTACCATTCACAAAGTCAACCTAAATGAACTCATGGAGTTTGATGTCTGAACTGCAGTAGTAGGAATGTTGTTTTGTGGTTCTTTGCATTATAGAAGTTTATTGTAGCTGCATCTCATGCTAACATATTGGACATGGCCTCTCTCTCTCTCTCTCTCTCGCTCTCTCCCTCGTTGCTTGCTAGTTGCTATTATATGTGTTTATGACTTTGTGTCCATTGGTTTTGTGATGTCTGCACTTGTATATTCTTCCATCAAATTTCAATTTCTAATATGGGAATAGCCACTGACTATTCAATTGATGACCACTGTTGCTTTCATAGTTGCTTGAACAGTTAGAGCAATGTTAAAGGGGTGATCATTATGCATAGAATCCTCACAAAATTATTTGTGGCATCAATCTTGAATGTGCTAGTGACCGTCTTGTTTCTTGTTGGAATTGGGACATAAATGAGTAACAGTTGATATTACAAACATTGTGCTTGAACTTGGAGGCCTCTTTGAGGTCGATCATGCTGTGTATCATCATTTATAAGGAAGCATGTGTGCATTTTGAAGGAAGAAGGACAAAGAATAATATGCTATAGATGCATCATGTACTAGAGATCTTAGAGTAATGCAAAATTGCATTCAGTAGAACGAAATATAAGAGAATCTTCTAGAGTCCAGTTATAGATCTTTCTTCAACACTGTGAAAGAGGAAGCTACTTCAGGGACATACAATTATTTGCGTCCATGGTGGCTAATTGAGGTGTTGATAATGAATTGTTTGCAATAATGCTTAGACACATGGCGTAGTTGAAGTTGGTCGCGGGTTTTTGGGTTGAATAGTTTGGTGAATAGATTCAAAGTTAAGGTTCTGGACCACATGCTGTCTGGTGACTGTATTGTGTAGGTTTGTTTTGTTTATGTAATTGTGCATTTCTAGGCTGAGAATTGTGATGAGTCCACAGTAAATGAATGATCAATTTTGAAATTCAAATTGAGAGGCTAGGATGGTGATGAGTGTCCTATCATAGTTACGGGAATCCTATTTTAGGCGGTCCTCAGCGGTAGAGTTCCGCTTTATGGAGATGCTTAGTAAAAAGGCCTCTAAGAGAGTCATCATCATCATCAAAGTCTTTTTCCAACTATTTGGGGTTGGCTACATGAATCCTGCCATTATACTCTTTCAGAGAGTGCTCCCCCCTTTATTCTTCATTCCTGTTCAACTCTAAGGATGTTCTTTTCCTTGGGATGTAGAATGTAGCATGGATCATGTAACATTAGGCAATTAATAATCTACATATGTGACTAATTGGATTTTAAGTCCTTACAAGCCAACTATATTCCAAATTAAGAATCAAAAGCTGAAACTAAATCTTTTGTTAAATTGAGGATACCAAGGTGTTGATTTGTATGCTGCATCAGTGCATTAGTGGATGAAGCTGACTAATGCAGCTGATCTTCCCCAAGGGATCTGTAAATACATCAAGAAGTAGAGTAGCCTTATTGGCTAATCTGTAGCAGTTTAGACCATTCAAGGCACGTTCCATCGTTTATAACATGATACGGATCTTCTATTTTAATTACATTGTGACCCACTCAATCTTTAGGTTTGAGGAAGGAGTTGTTGCATCTATTTACCATTCACATTGCTGCTAATTGCAATCTTTGTTTGGAAGCATTTTTGGTTTCTTTTTATGTTTTCCAGTATTAGTTTCCCATAAGCAATGGGTCTACAGATTCTAAATTTAGTTTTTAGAATGAACATGGACTGTGTGTTGCCTCTGGAATTTATGCAAAGTTAGATGGTCTTTGCCTTTCTCTGCTCTACCTTTTTCCACACATTAGTGATTCTTGTTCCTTAGGACAATTGCTAAGGGCTTTTCCTTTCACGTTTTGTTTTCCTGGGTAATTGCAATTTTTATTTTGAGCATTTCAAAGTCATAAATATCTAGTTTCTAACCAAAAGGAACTCAGAAGTTACCCATTATTTTTGATATTATAATTTGAGGAATTGACACTTCTGTTGATAAGATAAGTTGCAAGCAGATTGGCTTGTCTCTATGCATGGTGTAAATCATTTGAATTCATATAACTCAACGTATTCATAAAAATCATTTTAAGGTGTTGAGTGGTTATTTCACTCCCATATGTTGATCAACATGGTAAATGAGAAGTGGTCCTCGCAATGAGTGACTTCAATCAGTAGACATGTTATTTGCTGTCGTTGTTAAAGATGGATTTGTACCTTTTTTTGTCCTTTTATGGGTACTCGTGCCTTTCTATTGTTTGTTTTGGGTGGTCACCCTTTATTCCATGAAATGTGTTTTCGACATGTTTGTATGTGCTAAAAGGAAGGGTATACTGTAAACCCTTCCTTTTTGAGGATTGATATGATGAGGTGGCCAAGTTGAGATATGTCAGCTGGCCATATAGGAAGTTGGATGACACATGCTTTGGATTGATAGAAAGAATGAAAAATCTGTTGGGAAAAAATTGGGAGTTGGAAAACATCGATATCAAAGAAAATTTGGAGAAGTTTATAGTACCAATGGTAACAATGGGCAAGAATGCTTTTGAACATGGAACCCTTCCATGCAAATGGATGGATGAGCAGAGAATAATTGAACTTCGTGCTATATTGTTGAATGCTCCCAAATCAATTACCCAGGCACATGGAGAGAAATGATAGAAGACATAAACGCATATACTAAGATGTTTGAGAAGAGGATGAGCAACTATGAATTGAATCCAACCATAATATGATTTGCTATACTGTGTTAGTTGGATCTTATGTACTGCTGCCTTTGGAACGGTGTAATGGTGGTTTGCCCAGGAAGAATGGTATAGTGAGGTACATGGGGAAGGTGGCGACTGACGGGTTTCCCATGTATAAAGCAGTATCCGTCTTGTTGTGGTGAGCTTAATGTGTTAGTGGGAGGGGGGGGGGGGGGGGTCGGGGGGACAGAGATAACAAAGTACCTCCTCATGTTCTGGGATTAACAGCAACATCATGTATGATACGTTCGTCCTAGTTTCTGAAGGAAAAGGACCATAATGTATATATGTTGCAGTAATTTGAAATTGAACTAAGAATTCACGTACTAAATTTTGAAATTCTTTTTTATTTTTTCCCTCTTTTTTTGCGGGGGTTGGGGGGAGGGGCCAGATTTTTTAATTTTTAATTTTTTTTTTATGTTTAGTGTTATTTTGTCCTTTTCCTCTTTAGCTCTAGTTTTGAGTAGTTATGCCTGAAACTTCTATTTAAACTATTTTTGGAACAATATTGATTCTCATGTGAAATTGGGAAGCTGCATTTATTCCATTGACCAAGCTCAAAGTTCAAAAGAAATTTTTTTGAACTTTGTGACACCCCCAAGTAGTCAAATTTCACATCAGACGGTTATAAGTAGTTGTAAGCTTCTGCCAAAAGTAAATGATTTCATTGTACAATCCCTATTGATTTTCTGACTCACATGCCTGCTGCTGTCTATGTGGCATTTGACATCTGTGTGTTTCATCATATGGTTGATCTTAAGATATTTAACATAGACTGATGGTAGCTCATCTGATATGCAATAAGTATTTGCAAATTTTAAATTTCAAATAGAAAGCAGAACTGAGAGGGAGCAAAATTCCCCTTATTTTTGATAGTTTGTGTTGGTACTGGGATCTGTGATATTCATTCAGATGGCAACTGGGAAGCTTGAGTGAACTTCTCTTTTCTCTTTTGTGCAAAATTTTGTACATCAATTCCAACATTAATGAAATAGACTTACTTTCACTGTTTGTTCATCCAGCTGGATGCTCTGATGGGAGTTGTGTAATCTGGGATTTTGAAACCAGAGGGATTGCCAAAGAACTTCGTGATAAGGATTGCACCTCCCCCATCACCAGCATATCTTGGTCAAAGTATGGGTACCGCCTTCTAGCTTCAGCCACCGATAAGTCCCTCACTCTGTGGGATGTTGTCAATGGGGAGAAGATAGCTCGTGCTACTCTTCAACATACTGCTCTTCATGCTCGCCTATATCCGGGTTCCTGTAGCCCAACCTTTTGTTTGGCATGCCCTCTCTCAAGTGCCCCTGTCCTTGTTGATATGATTTCTGGAACTACAATCGTGCTTCCAGCTTGGGTTCCTGATGGGGGCGATGACTCTGTTCCTCACTTTCGAAACAAGTTTGCAGATGGGACCCCACCTTATACGCCAACTGCTGCAAGTTTCAATAAGCATGGGGATTTGGTGTATGTTGGGAATTCAAAGGGAGAAATACTTATAATTGACACTAATAGCATTGAAGTGTATGCTATGGTTCCAGTCCCAGGTGGCGCTGTTATTAAAAACATTGTGTTTAGTCGTAGTGGGCAGTACCTTCTCGTGAATTCCAATGATAGGACTATTCGGGTCTATGAAAACCATCTTCCACAGAAAGATGCTAAAAGAGCTCTTCAAGAACTTGCCAAAAGCAGTGAGGAGGTTGGAAGAATTGTGAAGTTGAAGGAGGTTGGGTCTAAATGTTTGTCCTTTTTCCGGGAGTTTCAGGATTCAATCACTAGGATGCACTGGAAAGCTCCATGTTTCAGTGGTGATGGGGAGTGGGTAGTTGCTGCATCTGCAAGTAAAGGAGAGCATAAGATATTTATCTGGGGTAGGGCTGGTCAATTTGCGAAGATCTTAGAAGGCCCTAAAGAAGCTGTGACAGATTTGACTTGGCATCCCCTGCACCCAGTGGTGGTCTCGGTCTCTTTATCTGGGTTGGTGTATATATGGGCTAAAGATTATACAGAGAATTGGAGTGCTTTTGCTCCTGATTTTAAGGAGCTCGAGGAAAATGAAGAATATGTGGAGAGAGAAGATGAATTTGATTTAATGCCTGAAACTGAGAAGGTACAAAATTTTATTTTATCATGGTATTGACTTTTGTATAGCAACTTTATCCATTGTATGTTCTGCTTCTGCCCTTCTTTAACTTTTGGTTTTTCTGGACTAAGTATCTGCTGTCGTTGCTTTCTCTACTCTGTAGGTGAAAGCAACGGATGTTAATGAAGATGAAGAAGTCGATATCATGACAGTTGAAGGGAATTCAGCTTTTAGTGATTCCGATACATCTGAAGAAGAACTGTGCTTTCTACCGACGGTCCCTGTGCTTGATGTCCCTGAGGACCAAGATAAGTATTTGGAAAGCCACTCCAAGTTAAATGACAGCACTCACTCTGACTCACCACTTTCGGAGGTTGGGAGAGTGAATGGTCCTGATCTTAATCCTGGTTCAAGTCCTGTCGAAGGTAGACCCAAGTATTTGAATTACTTCTATTCTTTCTCATGAATTCAGAACATTAAATGCAGCATATCTTTATATTTGATACCTTAAACAAGTCAAATCCACTGATAGAGTACAGAAACCTTATGAAGCTGTTCCTTGTGTTTTCGCTCATGAGAAAGATATGACTGACAACAACTGGTGCCTGCCCATTTTGTCAAATCTGATAACTGGCCAAAGATTTTGAAACGGGCCTTCTTCCATGAGTTTAAAAGTTTAAAACATTAATGCAGCTTGTCTTTATAGTATGTCATACGTCAAACAAACCGAAATTGTCATTTTTGAACAACTGTGGTTTGTTCACCTCAACTGCAGAATGTCACTCGGGTAATGGCGATCCAGTTAATTTGGGCATTCTTGAGTGCACCCACTATGAACCTTGACTTGCAGCCTTGTTAGATCTATCTTTCTTTAGGCTTGATTTTTTTTATTTCTATGCTAGGGTATGTTTTCACAAGGACATAGCTCTGGCCCTTTTGAATCTATCTGCTTTTATGTCTTATCTTTGTGTTTGTATACCAGGGTATGTTTCAATTCTGACATGTCTCTGAGTACTTGTTACCTGTTTTAGACATGTCCCTTCTTTCTTTAGCATTTCCTCGCCTAATTATAGAACAACTTAAAACTAGGAAGGACTACACTCTACTGCACTTTGAAGCATTATTGTTGAATTAACTGTGTGATGCTATAAAGCCAACTTTTGAAGCCAACCCACCAAGTTCAATTTTGTAAATATGATAAATTCAAAACTCATCTTGAATTTATTCTTCCTTTCTTATATTTTCGGGACATGAATTTTTCTTTTTTAATTGTTTTTCAAGAGTCTGAAACTTTGTAGCTTTTCTTGTTATTGAGTATATGCTGGAATTGATTAGTGCATGTGTTGCAGAGGATGTTGGCTCGGATTTCCACTTGAAAAGGAAAAGGAAGCCATCAGAAAAATGGACCGTAATGCAAGCAGAGAAGTGTCGAAAGCCTATTACAAAGGCCAAAGCATCAACGAAGGTATCAAAGAAGGAAAAGAAAAATGGGCGCCCCCCTTTGCATGTGGAAGATTCATCATTAAGGAAGTCAAAATCACTTGAGGGCCTGGAAAATGGTACTTGTGTATTTGAAGATGATGTAACAGACGATTACTAGATCCTCTAATTATGGTTTCTGTTTATTACCCACTTTTCTGCTTGTCTAAGACACTGGATTCTCACAAAGATGAGATTGTAAAATGTAAAACCACATTGAATACACAATGTTTCCCTTTACCAGAATTTGTCATTGTTAACTTTTCTTTTGACATTTGCTGCATCACGCTATCTAAATTTTGTGCATGTTCGTTTGTGCATATCTTCATATGTGCATGCTGCGTGCCTGTCAGTACACATATAAGCTGGGTAAGGAAAATATGCTAAAAGATAATTGAGAGTAAAAGAATGGAGTACAAACCCCAGAAATAAATTCTCTGAAGTACAGCTGTGAAATTCTTTATGCCATGCATGACAAAAGAAATACAAAATAGAATACAAATTTTAAACTCCCAAGTGATGGACAATGTTGCCAAAAAAAAAATACAGATGTTATGCAGGGCATAGGACATACATTCTTGCCATTTGAGCTATAACCATTTAGTTTAGCACACCGAGTTATGTTACATCCAACCCAGACCTGAAAGGAGAACCCTGTTTAAATGAGCAACCTCCAGCCGAGAATCTGAAGGAGCAACAGTAAGAGCTAGTGCAGAAATAAAATGAGAAGCAAATGATTTTTGATCCATTCATTTGAGGGGCAATTACCAAGAAGATTGGGTTTTAGTGGATTAGAAAGCTGGCTAGAATCCGTATATTGATCCCTTTAGATGTTGTAGAGGCCAGGAAAGGCGGCGCAAACTTAAAGCCCTGATCTTCATTAAGTCCAGAACTTTAGGCACTGTTTGAATTGCACAATTAACAACGAATATGGCCATTCTTTTTCCTCCACCTATTTAGGAGTGTAAAACCGCCTAGCTAGGTATGCTCTACTGTTCATGGGTGATGGAATTTCTTGACCTCTTGACCCTTCTTACTGTGAAAACACTGCCAAAGTGGTGGCAGCTTTGGAAAAACAAAAAACTGTTTTTCACTTGTTTCCAAGGGGTGCAAGCTGCTGTGAAGTTATGCGAGTTCTGGAGTGATGCAACCCAGAATACTTCTCTCTAGTATCTAGACAAGAGATATAAGCTTAAAAGTTTATAAAAGGAACCACAAAAGGGCAAATTAGTTATTGAGTCTATCTTTTTATGGATTTTATTTATTTTTTGAGTCTTTTTATTCACTTAAGGGTATAAGTAGAAATTTTTAGAGTATTTTATGTTGTTTTATTCACTTAAAGTCTTTTACAATAAATGGCCATGATTAGATTAGATGGATGACTAGGATTTTCTAATATAAGGGATGTACATTGTGCTCAAGCATAATGAGGGATGATGTTATGGACTTTTATTCAAAACCCTAGAGCAGTAAGTGCTCATTCTTTTACCTTTGGTTTTTGAATCAATTTCTAATTTTGGATCTTCCCTATCTTCTTGCTAAAACACTAGCTCAAGCTATTAGGTTTGCGCCAGGTTGGTATCAGAGCCTAAGGAAGGTACCAATGATTTAAAAAGCAGATCGCCCAGTGCCTGGGCGGCTGTCTAGGTGCCTGGGAACCCACTTAGACGGGCGCCCAGAGCCTACGCCCCGCCCAGGTGCGGAAATGCCACTCGTTGAGGGCATTTTTTGGTCATTGTTTTAATACTAAAGGGACAAAATTGTGGGTTTTAAGTTCATTTAAAATCTAAAACCCATTAGAGCCTATTTTAGAGAGAAAAATCTTAAAAAGCTAGTTTTTGGTGATTTTTATAATATCAAAGGGTTTCTCAAAGTTACGAGAAATTGATTTAAGCATCATTCATTGATATTAGATTTAATTTTTGATGTTTTATAAATCTATTAGAAGGTTTTTTAGAAGATTTTGAGTCTTTAGAAAAGGGCTTGAGCACCAACCTGGGCACCTGCCTAGGCGTTGGGCGGCCTGGAACCCCCCTGGCACCTAACACTTTTTGAAACACTGGACGGTACTGTAGCATGGTATTGTAGCATGTTACCGTAGCACGGTATTGTAATCTCAAATTTTGTGCCCTAGATCAACAATCATGCCTACATGTAGAGAAAAGGAGGAAAAATAAGAACCATAGAAGCATTTGATGCTAGTTCGCGAGAAGGGATTGTAGATCTGAGGAGATTGATCGAAACCTAAGCTTTGCGTTTTGCGCAGATGGAAGCTCCACCCTTGGAGGATGAGATCAAGGAAGATGAGTCGGTGACCAAGTTGGTGTCAGACGGGTCAGATTCATGGTGTGATGCTATTCAAGAGTTTGGTGCACAATGTCTTGACTTAGGCACGAAATCTATGATGATGTGAGTAGGTGTTATGGAACTCCATCCGAGAACAATCATGGAGAAAGTCTGTAAAGAGAATCAAGAAGAAAATCCTACTATTGGAGAGGATTTTGTTGTTCCCAAAATATTGGAGGTAACAGGTTTCTTAGTCCCTAAAGAAAGTAGCAAGAAGAATGGTGTTGATAGAGGCAATGTTGATGATGTTGTTCTTCTTAGGGTCTCACTTGATATTCACACAGAGTTCAAGGAATTTTTCTCCTGAACTCTTAGCTGATGAGTTTAATATTGGAGTTGCTCACCAAAAGATCGCTGAAATCATTTTCTATGAGAGAACTCAAGTCGACTTATTGCTTTGCTTTGATGGAAGAACCAAAATTGTTCCTTATCATCTTCCCCCCAAAACCTAAGCCTCAGGTGCCTAATATTTGCATCTCGACTTCACCAAATTCAACAAAAATGAGCCTTAGAGTTTAAAGGTTCTCTTGCATCCTAAAAAAAGGGTTTTCCTCAAGTATGTTAGTTTTGAATTGCATATCTTTAAGGTCGAGTTACAATGTTTCCAAGAGATGAAACTCTGAGTTTTGGTCTTCTCATTTTGTCCTTACAAGTATTGCTAAGTGGTATAGTGGAAGATTAGAGTGGAAGCTGCTACACATGCCCATGCTAAAGCTCTAAAACATGGGTTTGGTTGTAATTTTTGCAACGGCATTGCACTGTCATCAATTCATTACAAGATTGGCAATCTTCTCTGGGGCGGATTCAATGCTCAATCTTACATGTCATAGAGGTTCTTCTAGATCAAGTTGTTCTAAATATCAAAAGTTGAGCCAATGCAAGATTGGATTGTGTGAAGTGGTGCAGAAGATGAATGACAATGCTTACAAATTGAAGCTTCCGAGCCATATTCACACTTCTGATGTTTTAATGTCAAGCATTTCATTCCATATCGTGGTGATATCTCAGACGACGAGCCGCCAAATTCGAGGGCGAATTCTTTTGAGGAAGGGAGATTGATGCAACCCAGAATATTGCTCCTCAATATCTAGACAAGAGAGATAAGTTTAAAGTTTACAGGAGGAACCACATGAGGGCAAATTAGTCAATGAGTCTATCCTTTTATGGCTTTTATTTATTTCTTGAGTATTTTTATTTACATAGAGGCATAAGTAGTAATTTCTAGAGTCTTTTATGTTTTTTTTATTCACTTAAAATCTTTTGTACTAAAATGCCATGATTAGATTAGAGGGATGATCAAGATTAAATATCGTTTAGGGTTTTCTTATATAAGGGATGTACTCAAACATAATGAGGGATGATGTTATGGACTTTTATTCAAAACCCTAAAGCAACAAGTGCTCATTCTTTTACCCCTGATTTTTTAATCTCTCTCTATTTTTGGATCTTCCCTATCTTCTTCTTTGCTAGAACCATAGCTCAAGCTCCTAGGTGTGCCCCATGGACTCGAGTAGTGGAAGTTATTCTAGATTGATCAAGGAGTGTTTTGTTGTCTGTCAAGGTCAGTAGGTGCTTTACGTCTGTCAAGGTCAGTTAGTCCCTAAAGGCATGAAATATGTTTTCTTGCTGAGATGTGTTCTGGACCTGAATCTTGAATAGGTGAAAGTGAATTTTAAATATGAGAGAATAAGACCCCAACTGGACCCAGTTGGGGTGCTTTCGTACATATACTCATGGATGGTATTTGTTATTAAAAAAAAAAAAATTATCCGTGTATGCTTTGGTCCAGGAATATGGGAAAAACAACTTTGCTTTTCTGTTTTTAAATAGGTGGGAGAAGCATATTATAACATTTTTCATATAAATTGGGACAGAAATGGACCATACTTATGAATAGCTGGAGGGTCCTAACGGTGCTTTTCATGAATGTGCGGGGGAGAGAATGGCATTATTCATGAATTAGTGGTACCTTCAGAACTGGGCCTAACTGATTCTCAATTTAGAATGAGGTGTTAGACCTGTTACCAATATACATAATGACTGCAACTTAGCTAAACATAAAACAATGGCATGAGTCAACTTGCTACATGTAGTGAAAATAAGTACAGACAATATATGCATCTTTGAACACACCTCTCAAGAGTAGATTATCCACTAATGTGAGTAACAGTCAATCAAGAAATTACCTTGAGCTGATGACTCGGTTAATATATTTGCAACTTGTTTTTCTATACCTAACAGCCTTCATTTCATCTATTTCTGATATAATGTAAAGCTGCCTAAATATATATGGTCCTACATAAAACATGATCAGTTGGCCATTCTGATGGCATTCATGTTACATATATGGATAAGATGATAAGTGGAGATACCAGTCTCTTAGGTACAGCTCTTTTAAAATTTTTACTAGAGACAAAAAAAGAAGAAGAAAGGTAAGTCAATGGGGATTTGGGCCCCTGCCTTATGGTGAGATTGTAGTAAGAGATTTCATCATAGAGCTCATTGGTACTACTGCCAAGGCCCAGCCTATTGCCAATTTTTACTAGAGACACGTATGCACCTTTGTTACAAACATTTTTCTTTAGAAGTACAATGGCATTTGACTCATTTTTAACTCAATCACAGCAAGATTAGAGGTTCATAAACACCTCTTTACATCCCTGCAGCTATTTCCATTCATTTGGAGAACTTTAGATTGCACTTTATACATGACAATGTACAAACAAGTAAAATTCAGACATACAAACTTTTTTTATAATTACATCAAACACTTTTGGATATAACAATCACTCAAATGCGATCACAATTATTACAAACACTCAACAAATGTGTGCTTAGGAGGCAGGAGCTATGGGAAGCCAAAATTCATGCAATTTGCCTGGAATTACCTTCCCGGACTT